TTTGAGAGCCAAAACTTTGTATATAAGTTAAAATTGGAATAAATCACTTAATTGAAGCTTAGCTAATATATTAAAATTAAACTGTCTACAAGTAGATATCATGTGTATTCTCAAATTGTAAATCATGCCACATGACAATGTATCTCTTCTTGAGCAATATAACATAGTGAATATCTCAAAAAGAAGACAAATATCATCTCCTCTTATAGAAGTAAAAAATAATTAAAAGTTTGAGGTAGAAGGAGTCTTAAATTCAAGGTGGTACCAAAATAGATTAGAATATGTTATTCATTGCACAAATATGATATAAATGAACACACATAGGAGATAATAAAGAATCTTGAAAGTACAACAAAGAGAATTGAGACTTTTCATTGATGACATCTATCAAAATCAAGATGAAGAATAACAAATCTCTACTATAAAAGAAACAAGATCCAAGAAAGATAACATTCTATTTTCTATCTTTTTTTGGTAGCTATTGTATATTTGTAATACTAAAGAGATGGAACACTAATTTCTAGTAGATTCAATTCAAGAGCTTACTAACTTATCAGATGAGATATTGTAATTGTCACAACCTTCTAGACTACATAATTAAGATAAAAATCTTCAAGAACATGTCCTTCCTTAAATAGATGGCAAGACATAATGTGTTAGGTATCACGACCTTAAAAGAGACTCCCAATGTTTAATGATTTTATTAGACATATGAACAACTCTTGATAATGTTTTAAATGTTTTATTTGAAGAAAGTTATGAAGGCTTCAACAATGATCAAATAATAAGGTGGTCTTCTCCTTATAGTATGGAACACTATTAATGGTTGAGAGAACCTATCAACCATCTTCAAAGAGAATAAAGATCAGAGTATGTAGCAAATATAATTTGTGGCATCTTAGATTTCATCAATATATGATGAGTGCTTCTGATGGAATTCATCTCTAAAAAGAAGGATAAAATTATGGATATACATACATATTCTAATAAATATCTATATAATTAAGTAAAAGTAAGTAAAAATAAAAAATAAATTAATTTCATATTACCTTCTAAAAAAGCTTCTTAGAAGCTTTATAGATGTTGTTTTGACTTTACATGTATTTGTAATTGATTAATAGGTTAGAAACTTGGTAAATAAGTGAACCTTTATGTTGATAGCTTGTAGAACAAGCTATCTATATGGCACATATATAAAAAACTTACCTTACAAGTTAAAATATGTGTCTTACAAAGCCAACATATTTTGGAAGTTCTATAGGACATTGCCATATAACTCCTAATTAAGAGAATATATGAAGGCAAGAGTGAAGCCTTCTTCACTCTTGTCAATAATTTTCTAATCCTTATTCTTATTTCAAGACTTTCTAATTTTCTTATTTTTGGCAATAGCCATTCTAGTTCAATATTATATCATCTTTGAGTGAATTTTTAGTTCTTTTTAGTAATAAAAGATTATATTGGGGATTTCTTTCTTCAAGATTCATATCCTTGACAAAGACATAATGTTATATTTGAAAGAAAAGATAATTTCCCCCTATAGTCTCTAAGTAATAATCATGCATTTATAACTTCATCAGTCAATTGCATAATGACCAAACATGATCCATTACAAAGTCCTTGATGTTGAATAATATTTTGCAACAACATAATAAGACATCTGACAATTCACTTGGTCTAGTGTGTTATTTTTGCCTCCCTAAACTTAGTCTAATGTATTTTTTTTGTCTCTCTAAGTACATTGTAGCTCTCAAAATCTAAAGATGAATATAGTATTTTAAAGCATCAAAGAACAAACAATGATGATTAAGTTTTGTTGATTAAATTATTTGTTTTATAGTTTATTGATATAAACTATAAAAAAAATTCAACATTGGTCATTATAATTTGTATGTTTAAATATTTATTTTTATTCTTTAATGTATCAAGTAGATTAATTTGGATAAATTTTAATTGAGTATATGAGACAAAGATACTATATAAAATTTTAATTATTTATTGTAACATATTGGATTATACCAAGTATTATATAAGATTTTGATTATTCTAATAATACAAAATCAATTATTTCATCTTTCTACAACAATCAAATTTTTTTAAATAGATTTGTGCTATCATATTTAGTCATGAATTATTTTGCTTGTATTCAAGTTCAATCATTTAAGGAAATTTTTTCTTCTAATTTGATAATGTTTATTATATTTTGGTATAATATCTTTCAAAATATTGACATGTGCATGTATTTTCATAACAAAGCTTGGAAAAATTTCTCAAAATCATACTATCATTAAAATCTAGTTGTCAATAGAACTATTTGAAAATAATTAGATTGATATTACCAACTTATTTAATATTTATAAAAAGATTTGAATACACAATAAGAAAATATTATGAATATAATTCATGGAATGTTATGTAAGCAGGACATAAAATAGAATGTCAAAACAAAAAGTTATTCTCATAAGAACTAATTTCTAAACAACCTAGTTGTAATTTTTGCATCAATTTTCTTATCAACCATTGGGCTGAATTCTATCTCACTTCCTCAATCAAGAAAATATTATCAAATAAAAGACTCTTATCATTTAATAAAGTATCAACTAAAGCAAGGGTGGCAAAGCATCTATTCCTCCAAATAAGAAACTTTGTAAATAACTCATCTCATGTACAAACTCAAATATAAAATTTAAATCAATCACAATAGATTTTTAATCAATTGCTTGCAACCATTTTCTATTTATTCTTCTCTATGTGCTTTGTCTTAGTGATGTATTGGTTCTTCTTACTTCTATAGCTCTCTCTTCTCTTCTTTAATTTTCATCACCTCACAATTACTTGTAGAAGTTTTTTTTTGCAGCAAATAGAAATTGCAATGTTCATTCATGTATACATGTGCATTATTAGTCCCCTCCCTCTCTCATCTCTTCTTGTTGTTGTTGGAATAACATATACTAGTTCCACTCCATCTAATTCTTATACCATGGTTGAATTGGTACATTGTTGATTTGATCACTTTGTTTTTATTTTATAACAAAATTACCTTATTTTGTAAGCATTATTTTTATAAGAAATAAAATTATAATAGGTAAATAAGATTGCATGTCCAAAAAAGAAATATATCTTCACTAAGCTCTCTAAAGTTGTCATTATTATTGGCCATGGCATTGGCTTAGCTTGCCTTTGATTGATAAGGAAATTAATTCAATAGACAAAATCATTGTCCAACTACTGCAAAACAATTTGAAATAATAGAATGTATGCATATTCTCAACTTGCTACTATACTTTGCAATATAAAACATGATATTAATAACTACATTAACATCAATTACCAGCACTCAAATAACAAACTCTTTTTCAATCTCATTGTTTGTAAAATAAGTAAGCAAAATAATAAACAAGATTGCATAATACATTCATGAATGTATACTTGATTTTTGTAGCATTCTCTTTTTGCAAGTGGTGTGAATTATTAGCTTACTTAATAATTTGCTTTACTTACAATTGCATCTCCATAATATAATAGAGAAGGTTGGTGGATCTTTTGATGTCCAATTTATTAAAGTAAAATCAATAGTACAATTCTTCAATACTTCTTTGTATAGTATTTTAAGTAACTTGTCAATTTTTTTTGAATCCATGGCATATTTCAAATAGCAACTTTAAAGACATTGTATAATATAGCACCAATCACTTTTTTCTTTTTTTAGCACATTCAATAAAAGTTCACACTTATAAGAACAAAATAGCCAAGGTAAGTACCTCAAATCATATTGGATTTCAACTCTTGTTTCTTTTCTTTTATCTATGTCAATAATATATTAATTACCATTCTAGCTTCTATATTAATCAAATCTTATAGATATCCATCAAATTGCACCTTAAATATCATTAAAATCACTCTTGATTTCATCAACAAGTTCTTATTTTTTATACTCATCATCAACTCCACACCTACCTCTTTCACCTTTACATTTGAAAGATACATCATTGCTGAGAGAATTGCCTAGCTAATATAGCTTACAACCTATAAATGTAGTAGTTGCAATATTAGTAAACATACCAAAGAAACTCATCTACAAAAATACATTGATCAAAAAAGCAAAGTACAACTTAGATAGGAATGATGAGAAAGAAGATGAATGAAAGCAACAACTAATCCAATTAGCTAGAATATCTATTTTTAGTATTTTTAGAGTATATTTCTACTCCTCTATTTTGCTTCTATTCTTTCTCTTTGATTTCTCTACAAAGAATATCATCTATAATTGCATTTCTTTGTACTAATCCAATACAATTTTTTCATCTTGTGATCTTCTTTTTTAATTTTGTTCCATAGCAAAGAAGCTCCTCTGTAAAAAGACATTGATCAAAAAAGCAAAGTATGATTGAAGAAGGAATGAGAAAGTAGAAGAATAAAGATAGTAAGCAATCTAACTAATGACAATGAAAAAGAAAATAAAAGTAGGACAAAAATAGTTAATAAAAAGTCTTTAACGTTTTAACCACTTAGTTCTTAGAAATCTTCACAGTTCCAATCACTTCCTATGTTCTTGTATTCTTCAAGTTTTCAAAGTTTCTTTCTCAACATCCAATCAAAATATATATATTTTTGTCTCTTTATCTTATATCGAAGTTATTTTATACAATAGATAGAAATATATATATATATATATATATATATATATACATATAACTTCTATAAATCTATAACTTGACCAAAAAAATTAGATCTATAAAATAAATATATTACCAAATTATTCAAAATTACTATTTTTTATTTTATTTTTAAAAAAATTGTTGTTTGAATCATAACATCTTTCTAACATCTCCATATAAAAAGGCCATTAATATTATATATTTGAGTTGACAAAAATTACCTATTTGAAATTTTAATAAAATCCAAATATCAACTATGATTTAAAGATCTCATTCATTCTCTTTATACATTCTCATTCTCTTTACTCTAAAGATATGTTTTCTTTTAAAACAAAAAACATAACAGATAACTTCCATTTTTATTGAAAGACCTGCCTCAAAAAACTCAAAACACAATTATAGATGATATACTCAACGTTCATTCTTTTATCCTTTTTTCCACCTTAGGAGAGTATTATTATTCATCTCTTCCTTCCAAAAAACACTCGGTAATCGTATCTTACAGTATTCCTGTCGCTACCCATATTAATAAGTAGAGAAATGACTCATCTCAGTGGCGGAGCAGCAAACATATTCAAAGGTATCAGAAATGAGATGTTGAGATGTTGTGGGAAGAAGAGCTAGAGTCACCGATCACCGAGGAGAGGTTGTTCATCAAACGAGAGAAACGCAAAACCGGAGATGATCAAACAATATCGACATCGGTGAGCAAGTGTGGTGATTCCGAAAGTATCCAGACACGGAGATGAAGAGGTGGGGCTGTGGGGAAGAAGAAAGCAAGCAAGCAAGAAGGACAGAAAGACAGAAATAAAGATGGCAACAAAAGTCCTCAAGAGATGAAACGCAGGCAGGGGCTGATAAAGTCTCGGTTGTCCATATGAATGCCATGGCAGTCTAGCATAGCTGGCAGCGGCAGTGTGTGCAGCTCCGGTGGTGGTGGAGGTGATTCTAGGAGCACAATGTCCTCTATGTCAGGGTCTAGCATCTCCCGACTCGGGCTCCTCCACTCACTTCCAGCAGGACTCTTCGTTGCAGGAGTTGGGGTCTCTTCTAAATTCTCTGTCATTGGAGACCATCTGCTCAGCTCCAGATTGTCCCCACAGCTGCATGGTCTTGTTGCTGAGTCCACTGGTCCTTGTGCCGTCACAAGCTCGTCTTGGTGAATTATGGGTACATTCCCTTTCAGGGTGACCGTAGGGAGTGCTGCCTTCTTGGATAAGTGTGCTGGAAGTTCGGCTGCTGCCAAAATGCCGCACATCACTGGCTTCAATATCTTGCACACGTAGGCCATGGGATTAACCTTGCAAAGTAAGAGCAGGGTGACTATGCTTTGGGGAGTGCAGTGGGGAGTTATCTTACGTATTGGAGAGACCATGGTGAGAGGAGGCATCTTTGGTACAATCTTATCTTGATTGTCTGACGAGGTCTCGTTCGTATTCATTTTGTTGTTGGGTTTAAGATTTTCTTGTTTAGGCTGCACTTGCTTTTGGTGATGCTCTTGCTTGAGATTCTCTATCAAAGCTGAAGCGGAATCTTCACCAAAGTGATTCATTTCATGATCAGGAACAGCTGGGTTAGCTGGTCTCTTAAATTCTTCTGGTTCCTCTAGCTGATCACGTCGGTCCTCGTGCACTGTATGGGTCCTCTCTGGAACGAGCAGTTCTTCAGTATCTGTTTCTTCCTGTGAGACATACTCAGAAATCATTATCATTCACGCTTTGTCGAGTAGGAAAGGCTATCTTTTCCATGATGAGCTTGTTGCGCTTCTCGTAGACAGGTTGGTTTCGAACGTGCCATAGAAATGCAGGGCATGTGTGACAGCCCTATTAGAGCTGCAAAGCATCCTTTCCTTATTACAAATCAACCTCTAAACTTTCAGTGGGTTGGTAGATGAAACTCCCCCAACAAGAGATGTGTGAAGATCGCTAACGAGAAAATTGTACTCCCGTGTGGCATATGAAAGAATGGAGGTAACCTAGAAGTACAGTTTCTCTGCATGTGTGCATTCACTGAGATTTGCTTGCAATTTAATCCCATGAAATGAATGGGTGCTGAACCTGGCGCACAACTCTCAACGATGATATTACTATAAAAGACCACCTTGCGTCCATTTCGATGATATGTCCGCATTATTTTGAGGGATCTATCAACGGATGGGTTTCGGCCATGAAATCACTGCTACAGGAAAACTATTCTGCACTTATCCAAGATGTCACCTAGAGTCTTCAATGACCTTTGCCGCGATAAAAATAGGATCATTGTCCACGATAAGAATTGAAAGCTACTACACAACCAACCCTAGATTACTGAATGGATTCTGCCAATCCCAAAATGGCAGACTTTGTTAGAGATAAATCGCACTGATCAGTGATCAAATTGTAGAGGTCCACTAGCTCAGGCTCCTACACAATTTCATAGCATGATAAAACAAACTCATACAACTCAAATTTTAATTTCTAACACCTGATAAGATTGGTGGTAAAGAGTACCCTTGCCATTATGTCACCACCAAGATGTTGCTGTGTGAGCACAGGGCTGGTACTCATCAGGGCTTGGAAACTTGTCGCCCTGGGCACCATATACAGTGGACAAGTCAAATAATCTTCACCACTTTCTGCGCTCAATACTTCATTATGGGCGACTACGTTAACCTCAATTCGCTTTTCGACATCGTCAATATTCGTTTTGTCCTTTTTGTCTGTTTTAGCTTCCTTACCACCGCTTAAAGCAGTTAAAGCTGTTGTGATGAATGCATCGTCGTCAACCTCTTCGATAATTCGTTTGAAGGGAAGTGTGAAGCTGGGGTCCAAGTCAGAGTCTTCCTCATCACTAAACGTGTCCTCATCGAAATTGTCCATGTAGAAGAAGGCTGAAGGAGGATTGTTGAGTACAGATGAAGAGATGGATAATGAAGATACGCATGCAGAGTTAATATCGCTGATCACTTGGATATTGGATTTTAAGGCATCTTCGCCTTTCAGTCGGAATTCCGTATCATAACCACGAATCTGCATGGGCTGGGGTTCTGCAACGCCATCTTTGGATGCCCCACATCCCATGACGGTCAAAATTAAAAGTACGTCCACTGCTGGTTAGTTAAGCGTGATGATTAAGCTCTTGTGGCGATTTGGTTATGACCTTCGTTGCATGCAGCCTCCGGCGGCATGAAAGGATCCCTGGAGACGTTATGACATACCCCTCGATTCTTCGGCAGTAACATATTTCAAGGTTGAAGATTAAGTAGTTAACCTCTAACAATTCAATTCCCCGTATTTGCCCGTAAATCTTCGCATACGTGACGTGAAGGTAGAAAGTCAACTCCGTTGTGTGCTTCACTTTCTCTACAAGAATATCAGATTTATTGAACGACTGGCACTTGTCCTAGTTGAAGATGTATCTAGCTTTCGGCTGAAATGTGAACAATCAGAGCGGTTTACAGCCGCAAATCTCCACTCCAGAGATATTTTGAATCCATCCTTGCCTGTCCCCCTCATGCAGTATCACCCCATAACCAACGTTTGAGATGAAGTCACGAAGTGTGTACTTCACCCCCAGTATGCTCTTCCCATTCATCAAATTGGAATAAGTAACTACCACAAAATGTCCCATCTGCCGTGAAGACCCAAGAGCAAACAATCGCTTCACCACTGGCAGTGGATGCTGGCGAAGATGCAGCCACTGTTTCAGGCAGTTCTTAGAGGGTGAGGGGAGACAGGGAGGGGAGGCTTTGGAGGTAGGAATGCTGAAACCGCCTCATCACCTCTCCGATGATCAAGGGACCCATCCCTTTGACAGCAAAGCACCGGCTACTAGGTGGGTTTGCATAGTAAAGCTGGGTCAGCTGAACTCAGGTTTCGAAACGGCACTGGTGATTTACCAAGCCTCTTTTCACACTCACACAAACACACACATACACACACCATATTTCACAAAGCCCACAGCTCAAGAGTCGCATGGAACTAGAAACATGAACCACGCTGGCTGAAAATGTATCATGTCTTGGAGGTTTGTGGACGTCAATCCGAACTTCCAAGAGTCGAGATGTTGCAGCCATCGGTTCGGATCCACCGACACTGGTGACTTTTGTGACGTCTAGCCAACGACACCAAGACTTCACTTGCCATATCCATAGATGGAAATCCTTCCCTTCACGAAGAGCTTCGGAAGAGCATATCCCCCGCCATTCATCTCCTTCCTGCCCTTTGCGAAATGTCTGGCAAACATTGACATTTGAAGACGATATTGGTGACGATCTCCTTTCGGTTTACACCGCCTTTGGTATCCATTTTGCTCTCCTGATTTGTTCTTACCTTTCATTGACATTGGTGCCAGTTTATACGTCAGTTTGGTAGGATGCGATGTCGAGCTTGTATGGCCGTTTCTTTGCAGTCTTCGAAAACTTCCAGCTTCGTCGATAACACCACACGTCAGACTTGGTTTGTGAGTTCAATGGGGAATAGTTGAACACTTCCAGTTTCATTTATTGAGCTGATGTGATGGTGAACGTGGGATTTTGAAGGTTGGTCCACCGATTATCATGACCAAGCTGCTGCAATATGTTCCACTCGACCGGAAAGGTTTATTGTGATCCTGTGAGGGATTCTCTTCAACATCGCAGAATGCAAGGCTAATTGTCTCTTGATATGTTGTGGAAATCACGTGCTACTTCTACAATGGCAAGACCCATCCTCAGAAATGGGCATTATCTTGAGGTTTTAAGTTTAAATCCTTGAAAGTCATTCTCCAAACTAAGCGACCCACCATCCACGGCGCAGACGTTGTTCTCACCTCAACATCAACCAATGCAATAAATTGTCACAAAAATAACAAAACATAAAATGCAGGTTTGTAAGGTTTTAGAGGTCTTATAGAAGACATTTTGAAATTTCAAAATTATTTTACTATGATTTTATATTATTATTACTAGAAGAATGTTAAATAGACCCATAATTTTACTAAAAAAACCCACCCTTGATTAAAAAAAAATTATTTATATATATATATATATATATATGGTAATCATGATGAATGTGGGTGGTTTTTATTGGTTGCAAATCTAATAATGGAAAAATAAATCCAAAAATTATAATTTTTTTCCATGATGGTTAGGATGGGTGAATTGATTTGGGTATATTTAATATGTACATACATACATAGTTACCTGAAAATTCTAACTGTATTTTAAAATATGTAACTCTTAACAAATTTTATGTATCTATATATATATATATATATATATATACACACACACATACTTGGTGTTATGTAATTTTTGATATGTCATAAAATAATAACATATTCTTAATAAAATATTCACAACTGCATTTTTACATATTTTATTAAAAATAATTTATTATTTTATGAAATGCATCTCATCAATGAATAAACGTAATACATATTAAAATAATGTAAAAAATTACGCGCGGTAAATAAGGACACGAAGGTAAATACGCTAGATATTGTTACACCGATATTAAGCTGATATCTGTGTATATACATATATCCGCCTACACGGAGGTATGAACCGACCTTGTGCGGGCATGAGAGAAGTGCTGGGCTGGGGTGTTCTTCGCTAGGGTTTGGTGGTGGACGAGCCATGAATGAAGAAGAAAACAAGGCTTTCTATTCTCAAACTGCGTTTTACGGAGCTGGCCAAGCTCCAATTCAATCGCGTCTGGGACGATTGATCCGTCATCCGAACGCACCCTTTTTGCTCCCTGTCCACAATTTCTCTGATGCTAATAATTGAGAGAATCTGAAGCTGTTGACAGGAAGGGATTTTGAACGGGAGGATTTTGAACGAGATTGGAGTGCAATATGGCCAATGTAGGTAGCGGAGCAGTACCGCGCGGTGCAGTGGCGCAGCCTACGTCGCAGCAGGTTTTTCCATGCCTGGAAATCGATTACGGAATCAGTAGTTGTGATGCAATTTGTATGGTTGGTTAATTCGTGTATAGTGTATTCTGGGAAAGTTTTTTTTTTTTTTTTTTTTTTTTTTTGATCGCATTGATGCGGTTTTGGAAGCCAAGCGATTGTGGATAGATTATGGTGGAGGTAGCTGATTTTTGTGGTTTTCATTGAGGAACTGCTTTTCTTACCTCCCATTTTTTTTTTCTTCTGCTGTTCAGAACTCCGACAGGATCGGTTGTTTGATTGATTCATAGTATATTCGTGTTTTTGTTTTTAGTTTTTGTTGTTGTTGTTGTTATTGCTGTTGCTTATTAATGATCTACATATCCTCACTTTAATGTGAGGCTTTTTAGTATTTTGTGAGAACATTGTTGAATACGGTGGCTGCTGTCGAAGTTGTTTTTATAGTGATTGAGCGTGTTAATTGTTGTTTTGAAATTTGAGAGTGGATTAAAGGTTGGCTTTTGTGGTGTGGTAATGTGTGAATACAGGATTATTACAAGTCGTTGGTACCTTCCCAGCTGCTTGCTGAGCGTGGTGAAGAAATAGTTGTAATAAATCCTGGTACGTCTAGTGAATGAGCGTACAAAGCATTTACAAAGGGAGTTGTATCAGAGATATTTGTTTTCCTCTTGGTTTGACTGCACGTTTTGTATTATTTTCAGTCTGTAATGTCGATCTTCGGTGAGCAGGCTCAGCAAATGTTCGAATCGGGCTTGCATCTGCGAAGGCCCCTGTGAGTGTGCCACATTGTATAGCACACCTGTTGCGAGTCAGTGGGGAAGATGCAGCTGAATTGCCAAAAAAAGGAGCAGTTGGCGAGGGTTGGGTATTGATTGCTACCTTGCTCGGTTGGTTGTTAATTAACTGCATTAATGAGAGTAGGTCTAATGAAGCTCGAGGTGCAGCATCTGTGTGTACCTCACTCACGCCCTGCTCTTATATTAATATTTCTACTGAAAGGAATGATTTTCTGGGCATATAATCTTCCTGGTCTTTTAATTCGGTGCATAGATTATCAAATATTTTTTCTTTCCAAGAAATTTTTATTACAAAAAAGGAAGTATGCTATCCATGGCTGTGGTAAACCAGCTGCGTATGGAACACATTACAAATCAATGGTACAGTGAGTAGTGTACAATTGATGCTGATCAATTTATGGTAGATAGTTTTATTGACTACTGACCCACATGCTGAGCAGCAATGGATGTTTTTTGAACTTTCTTAATCGGTTCTAGGATGTTACTGACACACTTGAGGTTGAAGATCTGAGTTCTTGTGCAATGTTTATTTACGAGCTTATCATGATCATGGCAGTTTGGGACATCAGTGTTATCAGCAGCAAGGGCGGATGAAAGAGAAGAAGCTCTTGAGCTGGTATGGCGTTGAAACAGTGTACCGCGTATTCAATGGTTTCAGCTGTCGTCCATTTTGCAACTTAATCATTTAGGAATATGTCAAATGATCCTTATTGCGTTCTTTGAAAAATATTGTACTGTAAATAATTATTTTGTTGAAATCTTAATGGCAGGTGGTTTCACAGCTCAAGATCAGGTCATTTTACTCAGAAGTAAAGGTGAGATGGATTATCTACTACTGTTTTAACCAGTATGTCACTTAATGCGCCCGTTGTTGTAACTTTATTGTAGCATGAAACTTTGGTACATACGAACTATGCATTTCTTTGACGCTGCAGTAGTACGTACAGAGAGGATAAAGGAAATTTTCTCAAAATATGCAAATTCAAGAATGAATGTCTGCGAAGTTGTTTGTTTCTGTCGATTCGATCAAGATTTCGATTTTGGGATAGGTACATTGTGGTCTGCTGAGAAGACATGTTTTTAAAGATTTATTTGAGGTTGACTCGATACAACTTTAAGGTTGTAGTTGAATTCGGGCAGTAACTCAGAGATTGAAGGGCCAGGCAGGTGGGGGGGATTCGAACAGCTGCGAATTTCTTTCAAAAGAGCGGGATACAGGCTTTGAATGGACCAATGTAGAGGATATTAGCTCTACTGCACGTGTAACATCAAGGGTCCATCAATCGTCAACTTCCAAGTCCAGACCTGACGGTATATTTGGATTTCATAACTTGTTCATGTATGATACTGGTCATCATGGAACGATAGACGTTTATTTTCAAGGCCTGTATTCGTTTCAGAGTGTATAATGTTCGAATTACTTAGGCCGAACAACAGGTCTACTTCATTCTTGTTGAATTTGTCAGTCCGTGTTGCACTTTTGTTTATAGTATTATTTACGTAGACTTTTTTAGCCGATTAATTCTCAGAGTTCATTCTTCTATTATAAACTCATTCAGATTACCGAAAGAATTTTGATAACAGCAGCCGGAAGTGTATGGCAGATCCAGACGACGTTAAGGACGGTGGATTCAAGCCTGAAAGGTCTAAAACTTATCGTAAGTATATCTGTGGGGAGGAAGCGCTAAAGATTCCTGCAAGCAAGCCGTACACTCTATATCGGCCTATGTGTCGGGGTCGCCTTAATATATCTAGTAAATACTCTATGCAACAGGTACGATAGGTGTTGCTAGCCTGTTCAGTCTTTGGCTTTCTTTCGTGATGCTTCATTATTCTAAAGCTGCATTTTCAGATTTTATGACCTCCCTCAAATCTGGATTTCGGAGTGATTGCCTACTTCATGAAAAAGCTTGTTTCATTGTCTGGATGCTTGAAAGAAATTGGTCTGTTGTGTAACCTATTTGAGCAGCACAAATTTTGCGTTTCCGCTTTTACGAACTCTGTCTAAAATTGCGTATGGCCAGGTTTGCGATGACATCTACAGAATATGGGATTATGTTCTAACAGAGAAGTGCCACATTGGCTCCAAGATGCGACCAAGGTTTTCGGCGGTTTTGGTTGTTCCTGATACCCTTGACAACCGAGGTGAGATTGCGTTCTTTGTATTAAGAGGAACAGATATGTGAAACCTCAGTTTGGACAAGAATAATGGCGCGGGTGCGAGGGTATTGCAAGGTTTTGTTTTTATTTTTATTTTCATCTTAATGCGAAGAAAGCAGGATAATTAACTTGGCCGACATTTTTTTCATGTATGAACGAATTTCAAAGTCATGCAGCTAATTTAAGGAATAAGAACAAGCTGTGACTTTCTTTATTTAATTTCAGCTTACTTAACTGCAGAGGTAAAAGAGTTGCTGTCAGTAGTTCTACGGGACCTCCAGTTCCACTCTGCAGTTGTAATCCAGGTATGCTTCTGTTCAGAAATTCTCGAACCACTGTGTTTTTTATTTTTTCAGCCGGATCGAATGTGTTTAAGGGAGCTTTTAAGATACTGCTCTAACGTTGAGTCGATGTTTAGTGCTGTTATGGAGCATGCTTGACGTGTTAAAGAGTAATTGCATTTGTATTTTAGGAATGTGTAGCGACTACTTTCGGCAATGGATTCTCATCAGGGTGCATCGTAAATATGGGTGCACAAGTTATCACAGGCATGTGTGTTGAGGTACGATGGTCTCGAAGCATCAAGTACATGCTCTATCTCATTGTCTGGTTATGGCACCTGTTTTAAGTCCTCAATTTCAGAATGTTCCATCATGAACAAAGGATCGATCAGTACATTTTCTGTGCGGATTAATAAGGTTTTCATTGGAAGAAGGATAACGCGTGTTGCTAATATGAACGCTTCTAACAATTTTCTAAATAAGATACTCACTGAATTGACTTCGATGCTTCGATTGGTGATGTCAGCTAATGAAGTCCAAATCATATGTTGTGCAGGAAGGGGTTGCGATTCCATCAACACGTTTTGTGCTGCCTTATGGTGGAGATGTACGGGTTTTTCGTTCTCCTAAGACTATAGCATGACAAGACGCTATTTTAGATTCATATTTGTCCATCCTCAATGTGCATTATATATATATATATATATATATATATATATATATTAGTTTTTCCTGATGGAAGCTGTGCAGGTACTTGTATTAGCAAATACAGGTTTTGGGAGGTGATGATTTCATACCATTCTGTTGAATGCAGGATATCACTAGGTGTTTATTCTGGGTCCAACAGCGTAAGAAAACATGGCCCATCACTGGCACTGATCTTTTGCGTGATTCACTCGACTTTAAAACTCTTGAAAAGTTGAAGGAGACTCACTGCATACTTATGGTAAGCGTATGAAAGCTTATTTGCCTCGTTTGTAGTAGCGCTGGGACAAAGGACGTTTTATGCTTGTTACTTTGATATTTTATTAAAGTAAATTTATCATTACGATCTCAGAATCCTCCTGGATTTTTTTGTCTTTTTCCAGGAAGGTGAGCAGCATACTACAGTTGATGTGAAGTGCCGCATGGCAGGCGAGCCTACTCGGGTGTACACTGTCTTACTGTCTTCTTTAAACGTGTGTACAAAACATTTCTCTCCTGATCTTTGCTTTTGTAATAGGGATATGCACGTCACTGTAACAGATTCTAATTTGTCAAGTCTTGGCTCTTTTCTCTACATAATCGTAGTTCGCGATTTTATTTGTGAATGATTGGTCATCCTTGTTGGTGTTGTATTCCAGGTTCCACCCATGGGGTTATTTTACCCTTCTCTTCTTGCTCTGGAACAGTTTTCTTCCCTTCCTCGACCTTGGTTCGTCTCTTTTCTTCATCCGCCTTTTCTACACACAGAACTTTTACGTGTTGCTATCTGTTTACATTAGTCCTTCTGAATTTGTTATCCGTCAAGTTAATCGAGCAAGTAGTAGTTACAAGTTTTCAATCGGATTCTGAACTGCTTAAATAGCGTCTTCAAAAGCTTTACCCCTCAGAAGATGGTGGCGTGTTGCAGGTATCACATAGATCACGAAGATACTGCAGACGACACTTTTCTTGAAGCTGGCCGTCGTTTTGAAACAAATGAGACGGGGCTAGCTAACGGGAGCCTTAATGGGACCTCTATAAATCAGGATTCTGATCCATATGATTTTGAAGATAAGGAGAAGAAAGAGGTGGAGGAAGTTTCTAGTGGTCTTCCTCAAGCTATTGTTAAGAGTATTCTGTCGTTAGGTGAGTATTTTTGGTGAACCTTGTACTTTGTTTAAACTGTGTTGTATTTTTTACTGAAAATTTATGTTGGTAGTATTCGACACTTTGTTCCAGAGGATAGTTGCTTAGTGAACTGTTACCCAACTTTTTTCATTAACTTTTGTTTTTCTGGAACTACAGGACGTGTGGATCTTCAGAAGAAGCTGTTCGCAAGTATTCAGCTGGTTGGTGTAGCTTGAAACATTACAGTAATTTTCATGGCTTGATTTTGATTAAGAATATCGTCATATTTTTTTTACTTCAAATTTATCCTGCAGTCGGCCAGAGTTCTTAACAGTACGAGCTACACGTATGAATTTTTGTCTATTCTCTTCTATTCTGTTGAGCTCACTTTTACTCCTGTTAGGTTGGTGGCGTTGGGTTAACGAAAGGGCTGGTGGATGCCGTTGAGGAAAGGTAAATTTGTCATTCAGTTTATGCAAGTTGACATTGGACTACTTTGTCCTTGGTCTATAAACGTTGTTTATTGTCCATTCTGCATAATGTGTTCATTGGAAATGTTTACTGAAACCTGGATTAGTTCGTCTATTGGCTAATTTTCGGGGTATATGGGAATATTTTCAGGGTTTTGCATGCCATACCAGTGGATGAAGCTGTGGACACTGTGGAGGTATGTCATTGCTGATACTTTTCATTAAGTCTGATGGTTCGCAGTTAAAATCACCAGTTTGATTGCGTTCAGATCGTTCCCTTAAGGTACGTATGTATCTTTAGTTTTTGAAACATGTTTATCCCCTCCTTTATTTGGCAGGTACTTCCAAATCGAATGGCCCCAATGGACACCATGTGGAAAGGTGGTGCGGTGAGTATTTTAAGTCATTATAATTTTTCAGTGTCTTACGCATGGTTACAGTTACGTAACCAATGATTCTGCTGCAGTTATATTTTCTGACTTAATGATGTTGAATTTTGGCCTAGGTTCTTGCCGTCTTGGACTTTGGACGTGACTCTTGGGTGCAGTACGAGGATTGGTTAGATGGGATGGTTATGGTTGGAAGTGGCCGAAAATATAGGGATTCAAATACCCTCCAGGCTCAAGCATTCTGGTACAATGCCATGTTAGATTGAATAAAATTTACGATGATGTGATTGGGCTGGCCCCTTATTTAGAGATTTGTTCGAAATTGCAGACAGTTGTATAGTATACACTCTTCTTAGATAAAGTGCTCTACTGCGTGCTCGGTTAGCTTGAAAACTTTTGACCTTGCTAGTCCACATTATGACTATGCTCTGCCGAAAATTGTACTAAAACGTGATCATTCTGCCAACATTATGTTTTCCAGTCTTCTTTGAAGTCTTGATCGTCTTGAGACTGAACATACCCTGTGACCGACTTAGCGGTTGGTGCGGTAGAAAAAACGGTGCTAGTTATTACGATGTCTCTGGACATGAGCAGTAAACTGATCATATTACGCTAGTGGGGATCTACAGTGTAGATACAAGTAACGCTGAAAATATGATATATTTATCAGTAAAATGACGATTTCCCTCTCTGATGAATAACTATACAAGGTGGTTACCCCTCCATTATTGTGTGGACACTCTGCGACATGCACTCCACTTACACACAATAAAGTTATTATTTAATAACAAAATAAATAATGTTAGAGAATCTGTCTGTAAATTTGATATACAAATTTAAGTGAAATTATTGAGCTTTATAAAGTGAACAAAAGATTTACATTGAATATGTCATGAAATTTTGTTAGATTTAATTTTTTTTTGAAACAAAACTAAATAAATGTACAAATCACCATTGCAAATAAAATATAAAAAAATCTATAAATTTTCACTATATTTATTTATTGTAAATAAGAGTTTTAATGCATATATGGGGGGGTGCATGATACGGGGGTGTCCATCGAACGGTTCTCTTAATTGATTCACTAACTTTTGATTGAATTCTTGATTGATACCAATTCATAAGTAATTGTGGAATTATTGTGCATATACGCAAAATTTAATGATCTTTTCATTCCTTTACTCCAAATAACTGTAGAAGACATGAAGCATCAGTTTGATGCTTATTAAGTCGAACATTATAATACAGGTTGTCTAAATGGAACATGTGTTCGTCATATTTCTGAAAGGACTGCAAACAGTTTAGACAACCGTAGCAGTATATTCGTGTATTGTTAACCGACATACAACTTTAAACTAGCTTTGATTCATCACCAAAGTGCTATGAATAGTTTATACTGACACTTTTGGCAAAAACATCTCATTCATACCTACTTATTTATATCAGAATTTCTAATTTAAAACACGAGTAAAATAATTGCCATTCAGCTTTCTTCTGCGGATAATTGACCTTGTGAAGGACACTAAATCATCAGTTTTTTTGGCATCTACAATAATCCATATTACTTTACGAGCTATAAATGCTGCTTCAAAACATGTAAATTACTCATTCTTTGAGTATTTAAGGAATTTCAAATTAAAGGTATTATCTGAATTACCCCTGGTACGAATTCAACTAATTTTATCTTGATAAGTTGCTGCTACATCTTCTTTTTTTATTACATGCTGAAGACACAATGATAATGTTAGATTATACAGGTAGTAATTTTTTTTATTTTATTTTTTGTACATTTGTTAGAAGTATCACATTCTACCAAGACATCGATCATAGAATACAAGTTGGAATTTCTTAATAATTTCAAAAATGATTTGGTACCAAAATGATGGTTATGGTGAATTTACTTGTAATTTTGATGTATGTGAAATTTTAGATTCAATGTTTTGAAGAAACTTAAACAATAATAGTTGATTTCAGTTAATATTATTCTACATAATAACATGTTTTTAAGATTCAATTACATTTTTAAGGTGTACAGAAATAAATTACTAATAAAATTAAAAAATTATCTATGATTTGATAATATATGTGTAATTGTAAGTTTTATATATATATATGTGTATGCGCATTTATATATAACCTTTCCTTTTTTTATATTCCAAATTTTCGTATTTTAAATTATGGGTTTTATGGTAAAAAGGTGGCAGGTGAATTACAGCTAAATAAAAAATGATCTTTATTCAGGGCCTGATTGTTTTATGCTCTTTACTTTGCTTGTTGGTTGTACTTTTTCTTGTACTTATCTTCAGTCAAACAGTTTTTGTTTAGCGAATTTACTATCAAATTTAACAGGAATCCCGAAGAGTGAGCAAAGATTGAGTTGAAGTTGCGGACTGTGACAACCAGTACCCACTCACTCCAAAACCATGGGAATGCTTTTGGGGAGGATGGTGCTTAGCATATCCAATCTTGCAAAAAGAGCCTCCGACCAACCGGATTCGAACCAGTGACCTAAGGATACCTGCAACTCTACAGTCCTCCGCTCTACCAACTGAGCTATGGTCGGGTCTCGCACTCCGGAAGGGCGACAGGAGTGCGGCGCCTACACATGTTCACAGTGGGATTCGAACCCACGCCCTTTCGGACCAGAACCTTAATCTGGCGCCTTAGACCAACTCGGCCATATGAACAAGCTGCTAGATGTCTCAAGTGTTCCATCTTCACTATTTATAACCGTAAACCTCTCTGGCACTCAAATACGGTACAAAACCGTCGCCTCGCATCCTCACAGACCACAACAGGCCTGCATCTGCTCCGTCTGTGGCTGGAGCCCCTTCACACCTTCGCCGTCCCCCAACACACGTTCTTCCGCTCTTCCTCAGAATCGCCTCGCATTTACTCCACCAAGCACATCCTATCTTGCTCACCACCCACACCCTCTCATAGCTCGTGCAACGAGCGAGAACTGAAATTGAAAACGGAGACCTACCTGAACAATGGATGAAGAGAGGACGATGATAAGAAAGCGAGCAGGTAAGATGCACTAGTTTCAGCTACTGCACCGTGGCGCGGTATTGCGCCTTCGTGCGGCCCGGCGGACCCAACGCATTCTTCAGCATGCACGCGCCGCCAAAGTCTCCCGTGGCGAGGGCAAAAGCGGAAACAAGGGGGAGAGAGAGAGAGAGAGAGAGTGAACGCAATCGGAGTGTGCGTGAGTGCACCAGCAGGAAAGCGGGAGCACAGTAGCGATGTCGCTGCGGGGGTGATCGCGGCGCTCGTATGTCACGCTGCGAGTGATCGCAATCGGCAGCGGCTAGGTTGCGGGGCACAAGCGCAGGCTCGGGCCTCGCTTTTAAGTCCCAGCACAAAAACAAACACTCTGCACCGTCGCCTTTGTCTTCAGTTCTTTGTCTCTGTGCACATCTTTCCACACCACCCAAATGAGGTCTTTGAGAATATTCTCCTTGTCGTTCATTGCAATTTCTCACCATGCGCCATCTACTCTCCTTTGGTGTATTTGCTAATAAATTATTTGTTTGATTTAGTTGTGCTAATTTTAGGAATACTTTATACTTGGAAGTCTGCATGAAAAGGCATTAGTTCAAAAGTTTTATTAAGGTTTATTATTTGGTGAAGAAAGTTTTTGGGAAGCCTTTTCCTTTGGATATAGTACAAAGTGAAAAGAAGTTATGAAATAGATCAAATTATTCTTTTATTACAAGTTTATATATGTCTCTCTCTGTATATATATAGAGTTGAATAGTAGTGAGAAGTATTAAAAACTTGATTTCAGATTTTTTATTCAAAGCATTTTTTGACCCTACTTCTTGATTTTTTTTCAAAAACTTCCTCTAAGAAAGGGGGACTAGAAAAATTCCAAAGAACAACACTACTCATATCATGTAGGAAAAAATTGCATGGCATGTCATTTTTCCTTCTCAAGGCCTTAGGACTTATTTTTCTAAATCTATAGCCAACTTAAGGAAGCTTCATGACTTCAATAAATCAGACATTTTAAAGTTAATACCTCACATCTTATTCCCAAAAGTAAATAATTTTAATAGAATTATCAATTAAAAGGAGTGACTATTTAATACATGGTGTCTCCAAAAATTCTTGATGGAACTAAAATTGTTGCTACAAGCACATAGACTTGTGCCCCAATTTAGCCTTATTACTATCTTGTGTCATGATAGTTTTTTTTATTCAATTATATATATATATATATATATATATATATATACACACACACATATGTGTGTGTTATTTATTATAAAATTAAGCACATTGATTTGTACATCATTATAATATATACAATCAATATAAGATGATAGAAACATGCAAATGTTTCTATGTATTAGTTTGGCCAAGGAATTGATGAAATCTTATTTTTGAACTATACAAATGTAAGTTCTTATTTAATAGTTGTTATAAAAATTCTTACATTTTTAAAATTTAATTTTTTTTTGTACTATCATACATAGTATAATATTTAATTTTTTTAACATAATATAAAATGCTTCATGAATAATCTTTTGTGCACAATATCATAAATTTGTGAATTTTTATTTCCAACATACAAATCTAAATCCACACCACAAACCAAAAGATTTGTATAGTTGTATTTTAATTGTCTTTTAATTTTATAGATTTCTTTGGTAATTACGAATGTATATAATACATCAATATTTTGGATTAACCATGCTCTTGAATCCAACCGAGACCCTAATGCTAGAGTGTGTAAATATATACATACACTAGTGGAAACCCATGCCATTGGCTACGTTTTTATCTCGTGTACTTTTTTTGTCTTGAGCTGTTTTACACAAGAGATTAACAAATTTCATATCGATGTCCTGTTCTAGTAGTTGATTGAAACAAAAAGAATAATTACTCTGAACACCCATTTGTTCAATCGTGCAGCATTTTTCTGAGCGGGCGGATGTGGAGGCATGGGTGGAGAAGCTGACCGTCTTCACCGAGGACGTCACCGACTCCATAATCGCTCGACTCCATAACCGAACTCCCGTTTAATGCCTCGCAACGTGTCCATTCCCTTGCGGCTAAATCCCCTCGCCGATGCCAAAGCTCTCGATCCAAACTACAACCCGAAACTCTTCATGAAAACCACCCACAAGTGCAGCAAACAACACGATGTCAGGGAGTAAGGCGAAGAAAAGACGACAAAAGCACAGCTCTGTCAATCGAGTCTTCGGAGTGATAATTCTGAAGACTGAATTTCTTGTACTCACCGAAATACCACAGTGCTTTTCCCACTCGCTGTGTTTTGAAGAAAACCCATTCTCATTTGTGTTCTCCATCGCTGCCATCTTCATGCATCTTCTGATCCTAGTATGTTATTCAATATGAGTGGCTCCCCATCCCCTCTACAGTCTCATCCCGATTTACTGTGATCTCGTTCAGCAACATTGGATATCCGGCATACTTGAAAGACTCCGTGGATGGACTGCTATTAAGCCATAGTTTTGGTTCACTTTTGTTAATCACTTTGTCAAACACTACATGTTGTTAAGCATGCAACATCATTTCGGTGAAGCAGTCAGGCAAATGGGAATTTTCTGCCCAGGGCCAAGTTGAATGATGTAGGGGGGTAAACTACATGGTCTTCAAACAATGAAAAAGGAGCTGCATCCAGCATGCACAGAACCTGGCTACATGATCAAACCTCTCGCTATCATCTAATTCATGTTCCTGTTGCCTTGGTATCCTTCCCCCTGGGGCTTGAAGAACCCTCCTCCTGCGGTAGGGGCTGCCTACTGCACCTCTCCCGGCAGCTGAGGTATGTTCAGGTGAGCCAACAGCTCGATCGTCTCCCTATCCACCTTGATCACGACAGTCTTGATCGCTGACTCCTCCGGCACGAAGTCCCTGCGCCTCTCGCGCTCCTCCTGCAGCTTCAGAGAGGTTCCGCGCACTGGCCCTCTCTGGATGCGCTTCATCAGGTGAGTGGTGAATCCGGCGATCTTGTTGCGGAGCCGCTTCGACAGGATGATTGCCAAGCCGCTTCAACGGTATGATTTGACCGGAAGAGAAAGATACAAAACAGAAACAAACAAATGCATGAAAATCCCCACCTGCAAGAAATCCAACCTGCGAGCTTATAGCTTTGAGAAACCGGCACAGCACAACCGAGAGAAGACGTGCGCTCATCATAGCTCGCAGGGAGGAGGTTGTATATATAAAATTTACAATGCACATAATGCACACAATGCACACAATGCATACAATGCACAATTTCAAATAGACAGTTTGTGAACCAGAGGGTTGTGTCGCTTAGAGCTAGAACACAAAGAACCAGAGACTGACAACACATTGAAACAGTTTTTGAAACTATTCCTTTGCAAGAGTATCTGGCACAGGTGTCAAAAACGCCCAGTAAACGCACTGTGCTTGATTTTTGGTAGAAGGTTGAGTTAACATTGCTTCACTTTTGACGAAAACGATGAAGCATGCGGCCAATCAGAGAGCGTTTTTTGTCTCCTAAGCTGTCTTTTATATATATATATATATATAAACTCGACATGAAAATCACGCATGACATGTCTCCAAAGTAGAAAATGAACTAGAACTCTCTGACCCAAAGTTTACATTGTCCATCATAATAAACGCACTTGAATAAATTTGGAAAAAGAAAGTAGCGCGTATGCGAATGACGTGAAAGCAACACTTGCAATCTGTGTTGCAAACGAGATGGCTGCCTGGAACTGATAAACTGTGTAGAAAATTGAAGTTATATAGATAGATAGATATGTGTTTGTGTGTTTGTTTTTGAAGAGGCTCACATTAAACGAGGTGAAAGTACAAACACTGCATAACACCTCAATGAAGACTATTTCGAGAGAATCTACGAAAGCAACTCACGCAGTTCTTCAGCAAAAGCGGGGGAGGACCTTCACGGAGACATCCCACTAACACAGCGCCACAATCGATTGGAACTGCCGACTGTTGCCATAGCGCGAAACTGCACATCAGCTTTACTTTTGAACGCCAATTAGCGCCCCCTATTGATGCCCCTCTCAATTGGTGGTGTTGCTGGTGTCCGCAACTTCAATGCCCTTGGAGCTGACGTCCGGAATTGTCTGCACGCACAGCCAAGAGCAATACAGCGAAATCACGGATGCGCTATAGCACACATTTCCATCTAGAATACTTTAGGGTGAGAAGTTAACGCGGCCAGTGTCAATTCCGGGAGACGCTAACCGACTCAAACTCAAGCTCAATAAAAACAAAACAGCACCGATGTCGAAAATTGGCAGAAAAAGATACCTTCCTATCTACTCAACATGATGAAGTGCGAAGACCGGTACCCACAAACAAAAATTGCTTCAAGGAGTGGAGAGAAAGAAAGCAAGAGCCAGTCTCGCAACGTACCAAATCGGGTTTGAAAACGTTGTGCACAACGGAAGCACCAGTGAGGAGAGACGCGACAGACACCAAGTAAGAAAGCGCCATGCTGGGGCTCTTGGTCACCTGCTTCGGTACCTTGGTGGCTGCTGCGGCGCCTGCCATTGCGAACTATCGATCGATCAATCCATCGCCATTCCCACCCCCCACTCACACATGCATACTTCGGAGAGCACTGCTCTGTGGTGCTGGTCGAAGAACGCGTTCATCCAATATTCATCCGTTCTTGTGTCTCCGTCGAGGTCTCATTCATCCTCGTTTTTATAACTAGGTTCGGAGAATCCGAACCATGTGTAGGTCGGTGTCTGTCGGTGGTCGCAGTCCATTTCATTTGTGCAATTTAATATTATAATTTTTTCTGTTAATTTTACTTGCATGAGTGATATCACGAACATGGGATTTTCAAAAATGTTGAGATAAAATGTATCTTTTTCTTTGTCTCTATCTTTTTTCTACTTGTTGAGGGATAGAAAGAGAGAAAATCATTCAAATTAGAATGATCACATTTATTACAAAATTGTGTACGTAAATAAATTTCTAAAATAAATTATAGACACTAGACAAGAAAAAATATATATTTAAACAAACTGAAAGTTGTGCATTTGATAGATGACAGAAAAAAAATATTTTTTGTAAATTATTCTGCTAAAAGAAGTTTTTAATATCTCTTATAGTATCCTATTTTAGTGTCAATTTTGGTATATATACAGCTTTCTATAAAATTTTGACATGGGATAAATTTTACATAGTAATTTATTTACTGCTTGACTATCCAAAAGGCATATGTGCAAGCATGATTTTACATGGTTTGATTTATTTGAATGTAAATTTATAAAAAAAATCATACGAATAAACTATCTTAAAATTTGTGTAGGAAAATTTCTAAATATTTTAAATGCATATTTTTATGTTTTTTTTTTCTTTTCTGACTTCTGTTTTTTTTTTTTTTTCTTTTGTATTGATGAAATTCCATATATACACTTCTTCAGTATCTCCCTTTTCTTCTTCTCCTCCTTCTTGCTCCTTTCTACTTTTCCCCCCTGTCCCCAAAAAGTAAAAGTAAAAGAAGAAGAGGAAAAAGCGCAATACGGAAATGGGCTCAGATAAACCTCCGTTCAGACCGCGCTACAAGTTTAGGGTTACAGTAGTTCGGCGTGCCTTGTCGGTGGCCCTGTGCTTCGAGCAGCGAATGCAATGCATCAGATTCACGTAGCTCGATTTCCTCTTAGCCTTCACCTTGTGATCGGCGGTGTTCGCACTGGCTTTGTTCACCATCCATCGTGATTTCACCATGAGGCTGAACCTGCACCAGTTGCCACGCCCACTTTCTATCACAATTCAAAACTTTTCTTATCGCAGAAACTGAAGATTTGTCGAAAGGAAGATGAAACGAGAAAGATCTGTACCAACACCGACTCACCGTTGATCACCATCCGAACTATGACATGAACTGATGGCGTCGCAGTGACCTTACGAGTTATTGTACCTGCCGCTGAGGCGCCACTTCGAATTCAGTTTGAGGGGAGGAACACAGGAAGCACCGAGGTTTGCGTCAGCCAGTCGGTGATCGTCCACACCTTCCCGAGAGCTCCCAGCATTCAATCCCAGCTTCAAGAGTCTCATGCATTGGGCTATGTGCGACAAGCTCGCGTGTGGCTTCACGAATGTCTGGGTAAATTCATCGAATCCTTTGGCAGCGATGCAAAACCCTAGAACCGATAGGAGTAACAACATGGGTTTCATTTTAATTTTTTCCGGGTTCCAAGCTTTGCAGCAGATTTTTGAGGGTAGGTAGTGGTTGAACTGAGCGCGGTTCAAGACGAAGCGACTCCACTGCGAAAGACGTGTGGCATCGGGGATCGGTCTCTTCGCCACGTAAGATCCGCATTATTCTCAAGATGGGGCGTGGTTTCTACTTCAACCTCCTTGATGACACTGCGTGCCAATGCGACACGTTTTGTTTTAGTGGGTTGGGACATTTTCAGATGGAGTTGTGACGCATGTGCTTTCAATGCTGCAAGTGACTTATATTTCCCGGAACGGTATAATACAGGCTATGCCATGAAGTGATTAGTGCGTAAGCTTGTGTGGAGAAGGTTACACGACTCATGCATGGAGCGCATTCAATCTCGAGCGTCCAGATGAACCGGATACATTGGGTGCCAGCTCGCTGTCCATTTGCAGCCACACACGATCACATAGGGTCCCACATGACCACCTTGGGTCCCACGTGTTTAGTGTCTTGCAACCTCGAAGACTGGGAATAATCGCTTCCGGCACCAAAGCTCTTCTGAGCCTTCCACCTGTTTCCCACGTAAGCTAATGGGAGCGCTTCAAATGGGCGTCAGACATGAATATTTTTATGCAAGGATTGATATGCTTTTCTTTTTTGGGTCTATCGGCACCGTCCACGTTTCGAAATCGAACGCGTTCGGTAAGAAGATGCTCGAAAATTTCAGATACAAGAGACCTGAGATCCGTTGATAGTACTCATCAGTGTGATGTGCAGTCTCCAATTTCAGCAACGTGTATCGAAGTGTCCCAATTAGTGCCGACCACAGTTCAATTGCGGCGGTTGTATTTTTTTGCAAGTATAGGTATTGGCTGTTGTACAGCGAAGGCGATCGCGAGCCTGTCAGTTAGGAGACTTGGGATTGAAAGCAGCATAGTTTGCTCAGAAAGCTCCCAGTTGAGATGGACGAGTTGAGGCGCGCAGATGCGAAAGTATACGCAGCGACTCACCCTGGTGTTCGAGTTAGAGGTCATATCAACAGGTACCACATCCTAATGTTTTCACTCACGTTCTCTTTCGCTCTTCTGTGTTCCAAGTTATTTTAACGCACAGTATGACTCAGCTCAATGAGCAGACACTGCATTTCACGATTAAAAGATCACTTCTGGAAAAGTCTCAGATTTTTGTATGAAACTTGCTCCACTTGGTAATTATGGAATCGGGTTTTTGTTGAATGCAGATTTAACCCAAGGTTGAGGTGGAAACTCAGCCGCAAAAACCCTTTCAACAGATTCCGGGTGGCCAAGTACAAAACTACCCATCCAGTTAAGTTCCAGAAAGCTAGAGTTCACAGCAGGTTGAATTACATGAATCCTTTGTATTACATCCGCCGTATCACATACAATCTCACCCACATTGGCCGAAGGCATCACTCAACTACCACCTATTATTAAGTCTCACTACGGGTCCGTGAGTTTTCTTTCGTGTGGAGATGCAGAAATGGTCTGCGACGACACAAAGAGTAGTGGTTATGTTAGTTGCTCATTGTACATCTTTTTGTACGTATCTGGTACTAGGTAGTGAAGTGACTGCAGTTAGTGAACCTGCAGAAGGTTACTTTTTTCTGTGTAGAAATGTGCACGAAGATGGTCAGCTAAGACTACTTCAATTAAATGTGTCCGATTTTGAGACATCTGAAGCGTCGATTTTGACCGATACTTTGTTTGGATAATCGGTTATGCGGTATTTCTTTCGATTGTGTAGGGGTCAGCGCAAAGTTCCAAATCAAAATGATATCTTATCCTGGCGCATGCTCTGTTGAGGGGATGAGGAAATAAAAATCATGTGTTGATCTCTGCCTTAAGTCATCTACAGAAGATAAAGTCGGACAGTTTAGAATTGGGGATTTCTTCTGATGCTTGTCTTAAAACACAGTACAAGTAATGCAACTTGACGTGACAATTTGGATAAAATTGATTGTTTTCCTTAGACGCACGCCTTCAGTTTAACCGTCACTTTATAAATTGATAACGTTCAGTGTTCATTTATGTGTCAGAACAAGTAAGGGAAAAGCTCATTTAACGGGATATTGATGCAAATAGCCAGTTACAAAAAGTTGCTTTTCATTAGTTGCAGAGAAGGATATTAAACAGATGACAGTAACTAGAGTACAAGATAGAACAACTATTCCATTCTATGTCCACAATATTATGCTTCATTACAACAGTTGATGGCTACAAATCAAATGATATTGGATGTCGACCTAAATGCAGAGTACAATTCAGCAGGCAATTACAAATCCACTCTGGTATTTCGTATTAGCTGTTACTCACTACTACGGTATTGTGGCACAACGTCGAAGATAACAGGTGAAACTTCCGCGAGCCAATTCCCTTGTCAGGATTATTTAGTACTTGACGCACGTGCGATTTTTACCAGAAAATAGCTTGGTCACACATGAAAGCAGCTCCATTGTTCGAAACCTTGGAAATGTCCTTCACGTTAAGGCCTAGTCGACAGGAAATGGTCTTGCATAATGCAACATGATGCTAGCTGAACGTTAGCCCCACAGTCGGCGTCTTCATGACGAACCATGTTTGATAGCAGAATGACCTGAAGAATAGCAGCCAAATACACTTCTCAGACCCCCGTTTGAGATGTACACAGTTCATTAAAATCAAGTTAGCTGTTAGATGCCACGACCACATGGGCAATAGCAAACACGTAATAATCGAAGAAATAAAAAATACAACTTCAGAAAATCAATGGTATTTCGGGGTCACTTTTGAAACATAGCGGCTGTCTTTTTTCTCTGAAATGGAATGCTATAATACTTGCGTTTCTGTGATTAAGTTATTCTAAGGATTTGAAAGGGAAATTACGTACCTTAGGAACTTCTTGCAGGTTACTGTCTTTTTACAATGAGATCTAGTATAGGTTAATACATAGCACAGTGATAGTGCTCCGAGAAGCTCCTGCGATTCCTAGTGTTTATTATTCGCCCGGCTCCTGAAAATACAAATGTCATAATCTTATCCTGCCCATTATACTTCAGTGTAAGAGCAACGAAAGGTCAAAGAAACTAACTACCTAGATACAAGAACGGTTCATTGTCCGAAAGTCAGAGCCACGTGACCGCGAGAGACTATAAGCTTTGACGTGCTGGAAAACCCAATGAAATTCACGACCACAGAAAGGAGGAAGAGGAACTTGCGAAGAGCACATACCAAAGGTTCAGCACACTTATGCCATGCACGCACAGTGGTTGTAAGCGATTACTCCTCTAGAAAAGAGGAGAGAATCTCTACATTTCAAAGACGGGTTGTATTTGATGTGTAGCAACAGTCGGATCTCCTCACTCACTTCTGCTAACAGCATTACCGACACGACACATAACACAAACTTGAGCCAATCTCATATTCCGTACTGGGCAACAAGAATCTCCTATCACTGCAGACAGAAGCCACACGCATTTTAGAGGACAATAACATGGCAAATCGGTGACAATTAGAGGAACTTCTTAACATCGAACGAGCTATTGGATGCGTCGACACAAGTGCATAGTACCATGTGCTTACAAACCAATTCCACCGTAACATGAAGAAGCACCTGTTCCCGGTATTCAGAAATACTGATCTTCAAAACCGCTATTCCTTGCCTCGAGACGTCTTCCTCCATATGCAACGGTTTCACGCCTTCCTCGACCACCTTCATCCTGAGTCCAAGGTTTCGATAACCTGATCGACAAACAGTTATAAGGAACAGGAATGGAAGGAGACACATGAAATTCTAAAACCCATGGTCGGTGAGACTCGATCGGTGGAAAGGAGAAGTGAAAAATAGTGCTAAGGTAGGGCAAAATTCTCAGTTCAATCCCAATAAAAGGCTACTCATAGAATGATGGCTGCATACCTCTCACGACCACCTTCACCTTCTGTCCATTTCTTCAAGAGTCTGGTGACAGATACAACCATGAGATTAGCAAGGCAATTCAGAAGCCTGACTATCTTCTAGAGCAAAAATGATGCTTACTGAGAAGTCTCTAAGCAAAGAATATGAGGGATGCAGAATATGGCGAAGTTACAGGACTTACCTCTCACGACTTGATCGAAACTCCCCTTGCATACGTTTCAGAATGGCCTTGAACTGGAGGTTGAGTGATGATATGGCTTCGTCTCTCTCTTGTTCGAGTGCTTTCACCACCCCAGCCGAGATGGCAGACAGCACCATATTGGAAACAACGTTCTCATCTCTAGCCTTTTCCATTTCCAAATAAGCTTCCTGTATTCTTCGGAGCTCTATGGAATTTTCTTCGTACCGCTGTATGACCATGACCCAAATAAACAATAACATTAACTTCCTAATTCAGAAGCTGTCGAAGACACAGATTACAACCAGCGAGCGTTGCTGAACAGGATCATATCAACATTGAAATCAGGTATAATAAGTTTCATTCACTCTTAAGACGGAAAACTTCGACATGTAATAATCAAACCTGGTTGGCTTCATCAAGCAAGATATCAAGATTTCGATACTGATCCCCTGCAAGGTTGGAGGCTATGTGGTTCTCAGCATGAACACCAGAGTTGGCCACCTCCTCTTGAGATCTGCAATTTAAAATAGCACTTTTCACGTTTAGTCAATCCATATTCCAGTTACGATAACCGATACAACGCGCTCAATATCAATACAAGGAGACTTGCACAGAGTACACTTGTTGAGTTCCACTCACTTATGTAGTCGCGTTAGCAACTCTGCATGCTTCAACCTGAGGGCAGTTACATCCTCTTCGGCTAGTCTCTGAAAGCAACAGTGGTGTTAATTTTCTCTTAATCTCGCCTGTATTTTCCCAGTTAAGAAATACGACACAAATGAGCATTGAGCTCCACTACATGTCCACCTAAATAAACTAAAATATGCAAGAGAATTACTGACTTAGAGATTGTTGGTTCCCTAGGACACACAAGACCTCTAAGACTGAGATGTCGAAGTGGACCTCTGCTGATAAGGGATGCACTAATAGTGTACACCCCCTGATACTTTCGAGTTCTTGCAGTAATTCATCAACCCTTCGATTAGCCTCATTGGCCCTATCCTCGGCTTGGGCAGCCCGTTCTTCGGCCTCGTCAGCAACTTCCATGAACACTTCCCGGTCATTGTGATACAGGTTGCACTCATGCTCTAAGCGCCTACATTCCACGGTCAACGCCTCGCAATCTAGGGTCAGCGATTTACATTCAGCCCCAAGTCTTTGAGTCTCAGATACTTGTCTCTTCAACGCTTGCGCATTACGAGCTGCCTCATCCTGCAGTATTCGACGTAAGATTAGTTCAGACTTAACCCGGCGGCCATTAATATTGAAAATTAGTTTTCTAAAAGTGCAACAGCTGAGGCGTAAACAGCTTGTGCATCCGACATAAAATTGCGCACTGAACAATTAATGATTTTGGCGTAGATAATCGTCATGGGCAGCGACCTCTCCACCAACTATTCGCCTCTCATTCAGCTATGGCAATAAAGAATCAACACGACATCTCTATAACCCAATGAAGTGAGAGGACGGCGCACGAAACTCAGGCTTCAGCAATGCAACCACTCCATTACTTCGACTGACTTTAAGATAATCTCTGTGGAAACGACTTAAGCAGTCACTGTCGAAAAAAATATCAACTTGAATTAAAATACTCACAGGTCGATCCTTGAAATAAGATTCTACCCATCATATGGTCTTCACCACATGAGTGCCCCGAAAAGAAGAGATCACCTAGTTCTACCATTTATGAAGGATCCCGGGTAGCGGTTGAGAGTTAGAGACATCACAGGGATGTTGGTGATTCGGCTGACAGTCGCTACTCTTCCTGGTTAGTCGATGATATCATCGATACGCGGTTGTAACCTCAAATGAATTCTTCCGACTAGAGATCTCATACGTTAAACAAGTTCAGATCCCGAGTATTACGCAGCCATGATACACGTACAGGCAAGGGAAGGATGGAGACCAAACGAGTCGTCAAGAAAAACCGATGCAGGGATTACAATTTTATGAATGTGGGCCTAGCAGGTCCATACATATCGGGCATAAATTTCAGCCTTCAAGTTATGCAGAGGGTTAGCGTTGGTGAAAGAGAGGCAGATTGGAGCGTATGAGGGCAGTGAAGTACCCTAGTTTTCGCACATCTCAAATCTGCCTGCTCAAGCCGGCGAAGCAGCACGTGAACTTGTTCCTGGAGTAGCCTCTGAGAATCTACCGCTTCAGCGAGCTTCCCCTCCCAATAGTCCTGGCAAGGACATGGATTGATCATGTGGGAGACAGTTAACTGTACATGCTTATCCAGCTCCGCCGGCATAACCATTGTAGCGCCCTCGTCGCGCCTGTACATATTCGTTCCCTGAAGATTTCACAGTATGAAACTAATGAGGTTACCACGGACGATAGAGATCTGCAGATTGCAGAATGCAGACCTCTCCGCTTCTCTTTCACGTGCACCTTAACTCCACTTCTGCTCGATGCGAGAATTGGCAAACCGTCTCCTCCATTGGCATGCACGCTGTGGTAAAACCAGCGCCAAGAGCTCTACACCGATAGAGCCAAATGCTGATAAAAACAAAGTCTACCTGCTCGACACACAAGACTCCGAACCCCGCAGACTTCTCCCCACATCCACAAAGCACATGCAAGTAATTGGTCTCCCGCGTCAAGGAATCACTCCAGTGTTTAGTTAACGCGTTAAAACACACTCCCCGATCAGAAATCCCCGCAGAAACCGAAATCTCCAGCAAAACGCAGCGTGTATCCCCCCTCTCCGCCTTCCGATTCCGAACACACACACACACACACACACACACACTCACACTCCAAGCTGCGAGGAAGAGATCTCCGAACTCTTCCTTCCACCGAGCTAAACAGGCTTAGAACTCAACAATAACAAATAAAATACATAGAATCGTGACAACGTTCATAACCGAATGCCGGATCCTTCAATCACCGCACAGTTGTTCTAACACGGAATTGATCAACTGGGCCAAGTCCCTGAGCAAGGAACTACGTCACGCAGCGCAGCAAAGGAACCAACTAGCAAACAAACAAAACCAGCACTTGAGCTCCGTCCAACGGTCACATGGCGCGGACAACGGTCGAATGCCAACTTTGGGGTTACTAATTACGATTAATATAAGGCAAGGCTAAAGGGCGGAGGGATAAACTAGGCTATTGTGCACTAATATGCTCTCACTAATTACGGGTGGGAGTGAATCTTTTGAAGGGCCATTGTGGCTGAAACGGAAACTTCCCTTTGTTGAGACTATAGCTCGAAACCTAAATAAGACCCCTCGTTAGTGTGCCCCGTCCGGTGGTTGCCGCCCTTTTCATACAACGCTGCGCTCCAAACCAAGGGAAATGGATGAATGGTGTGGTTTTGAATATTGTGACTATGGTTTGTGAATAGTTTTTTTTTTTTTTTTTTTTTTTTTTTTTTTTTCAAATCATCTATAGCCTTCTTAAAACGTTGTATTATCCTTTGTAAACTCATCTTGCGTAGGTGTGATCTATTGTCAACTAACCCAATAAATGAATCTCTTTCATCGTTGGTGTCAGAGCATTGATTATACCTCCCTCCCATTCCCTTATTATTATTATTATTATTTGTTTTATGTTTTTATTTTTTGTCTCTTTTCCTTACTGTCCTCTTGAATCAATAGGATTAAAATCATTACTTTCCTAATACTGTATGCTAGAAATTCACATCTTATTTTTTTGACCAATAAAAACTTACATGTATGGATTCTATGGGATCATTTCAAAATCTTGTATTTAAAATCAACACGTTTTGAAAACATTGAAATAAAAAAACACTTCATTGTTTTACATTTGTACAATCAAATCACAATGTGGCTTTAGGTACAATTTTGTATCTGTATTCTTTTCAAGAGCACCTTCGTTCTTTTATTCTTAACTGAATCCGATTAATGATAGTTTATCTCATATTTATCAGGTTTTAAACAAGTATTCTTCTAATGATCTTTTTGTCCTTCTCTTTTCCAACTTCATTTTGAAAAAATCATCTGTGTGCTGCAGGACAATAATTTAATCTATTTTCTCACAGAGTTCCATCTTAGTATATATTTTCAAAAACTTCTTTGCAATCCTTCACAAAATCTTCACAACATATCTTCTACTGTTATATATTTTGGCAAGTCCATCTCCTACACACACAAACAAAACAAAAAAAAACAAAAAAGTAAAAATAAACCAATAAGTTGTAAGTTTAATGTCTTTTGTTGTATATTATCAAATTAGCACCAACTATATCAGCTAATCATTAATAAAATACTGTTAAAAACATATCTCACTATCTATATATATATATATATATAAGATATATTAACTCAAGAATAAACATATTTCAATTAACTTAGTAAGCTTGAATATTTTTTCTTATATGCTATTATAATTCTCAGACACAAACTAATTCAAACACAACCATGCATTTTTTGGTAACATTTTAAAATTCGTTCTGTACAATAAAAATTTCATATATGTAAATATATATATATATATATATAAAATCCAATATAGCCAAACAGATTATAAAATAAAAAAGCAGCATGTTTTTGCTTCCTATGGTTGCTCCAAGAATTCAACAAATATTTAATTTATATTCTATTGATACGTAGAATATATTATAATAATTTATTTTCCTCAAAAAAATCATTAATGTTTTCATTTTCATTTTCATTTTCATTTGTTTTTTTGGCACGGTACAATGAACACATAATCCTTATAAGCTTTCTATGTAAAGTAATTTATATAGTTTTTTTATTTTCTATTAAGTGACACAAAATTATCATATTTAATTCAATAATTTTAAAGTTTAATAATATGTTAACTGTGCTGATATAAACATATATCATCCATGTTCAATTATTACCTATATACCCGTATATATATATATATATATATATGCACACATTTAGAATTTTACATAGTTTGATCTTATATAAGTTCAATTAACTTTCTATAATTGCAAACATTTAGACAGCAACACTATCATACTTTAGGTCCAATAAATTTGAATGAATTTTTTTAAAATATTTGATTTCTTAATCTATAATATTTTCATCTTTTAAGAAAATTCTTTTAAAACATATTATAACTTTTTTTAATAAATTATAATTTTCATCAATTTTTTTTACAATATGCCATGAAAAGCTCTAAAATTGTTGAACTTCTTGTATAGGCTATTACTTTTTAATACTGAATAAAACTGAACTAAATTAAAAAAAATATTCATTTTAAAATTTTGACACATTTACTATTCATAAAATTGTTGTTAATAGATTATAGTTAATAGATTATAGTTAATAGATTATAGCATAATACAATTACAAGATTGAAGCAGAAAAAGACAATTTATTTTATTTTATTATAATTTAAAAATATATATATATATATATATATACTTGTATATACATATATAAAAAAAAAAAAAAAAAACATAAATAATAATTTTCAATAATGTATAAAGTTTTCAGTTTTAAGCTTTTTAAACACTAAATACTTAGACATTTAATAGCTTATTTGAGGCTAATAAAAAAACTTTATCTATGATTAAAGTTACAATAATTCACCACCAATTTTACTGAAAATTTGACTCGAAACATTCTTATTGGTTATATAATCCTAATCTGATGATTTGTAAACCAAGAAAAAAAATCTCTTACAACAAAACCATTTTTCTTGGAGTTAGAAAAAATTACAATTGAGAAATAAATAAGATTCAAATTTTAATCTTAATTCAATATTTAATCCTAATATTATAAACACGTCAAGAAACTATGCTTATATAATTAAAATGATATTATGATTTAGTTCTAAATAAATACATTTAAAATTATAAAAATACATATTATTTTTAAATAAATAATAAATTTTATTTTAATATAAATTATGTATATTAAAAGAATAATCAATAATTATCAAATTTGAGAAATATTTTTCAAAAAATGATTTGAAGTTAGATTATGCCTTTTGTAGTTTTTATATGAATTAGTAGAATGTCGTTATTATTCCGTATATTCTATTTATAATTTTTCAACTAAAACTTCAAAAAACTTAAATATATTTTTTATTTTAAAATATAAATAAGAAAAAATTATTCAATACTTAAAAATAATAATTATTGAATTAATATGGCTTTTTTTTATATAAAAAGATTACTACTATCATCTAAAAAAAATAAATATATCTTTTAATTAATAGAATTTGTTGTTTTTGCTTTCCAAAATAAAATATACTATCTTCTATAAGTAATAGTTTTTTACTAATATAAGAAGAAGTTAGAAACAATACATGACTAACATTAATACCATCTAAACTAACTATCTATCAAAAAGTTCTTCTTATGTTCTTGACTTCAAATAAAATAATTTTAAAATATGATTTTTTTTTTCAAAAAATAATCATATATATGGTTAATAATAACTATATATTTTTTAATAGAAATTTTAGATCTAATAATATGATGTAGTCTTTCATGGCACAAATTGATAACACAATTAAATAATAGTGACAATTTTATAAGTACTTGATAAAATCTTTTGTAATAAAAATGTAAAATTAAATATATATTTTTAAAGTATGAATCTATATATATATATATATATATATATATTATTTATTTATTTTAAAAACTTAATAATAGTTGAATTAAAAATAAGAGTTTTTTTATTTCAAAGTTGTTATTGTCAAGGACAAGAACTCGATGAAAAAACAGTTCAGACAAGTAAGCCTTCACTCAAAGAAAAGTAACAAAATATGAATAATAAGTATGTATATTGAAAAGAGAAACTAGAATGGCTATTGCCAAAAGACAAGAAAACTAGAGACCCTTGAAACTAGACTAGAAGCAAGAAAGGAGTTGACAAGAGTGAAGAAGCCTTCACTCTTGTCTCTATATATACTATCTAACTAGGGGCTACGTGGCGACGTTCTATAGGACCTTCAATATGTCTTGACTTTGTAGGACACATGCCTTGACTTACAAGGCAAGTTTTTCTACGTGTGGGCTACATAGTTAGCTTGATCTTCAAGCTAACAACATGTGTGGCACATGGCCAACTTGTTGACCATGTTTCTAATCCAAAAAGTCAATTAAAGATACCTATGAAGTCAAAGCAGCATCTAGAAAGTTTCTAGGAAGCTTCTATATTAAATATTATAGAATTAACTTACTTTAATCTACTTTTACTTACTTCTACCTATTTCTATATGTAATTATTAGCTTACATGATTATGGCCGTGACATTACCCCCCCTTCTAGAGACGAGTTCCACGAGGAGCGGTCATCATATGTTGAGGAAATCTATGATGCGACGAATTGTATTTGCCACATACTCTGATCTCTGTTCTCTTCGAAGATGATTGATAGGGCCTCTCAACCATCGGTAGTGTCCCATACCAGGGCGGGAAGACCACCCAGTTATTTGATCATTGTTGAGGCCTTCGTAACTTCCTTCGAATAGAATATTCGGAACACCATCAAGAGTTGTTCCTACCTCTAACAAAATTACTAAACATCGAGAGTCCCTTCCCAAATCGTGATACCAAACGCGTTGTATCTCACCATCTATTCGAGGAAGAACATGTCATTCTTGAAGATCTTCATCTCGATTGCGTCATCTTGAAGGTTGTGACAATCGTAATGTCTCGTTCGGCAGGTCAGCAAACGAAGGTTCTTGAGTTGAATCCGCTGGTTGTTGGCTCTCCATCTAATTAGCGTCACAAATGCGAAGAAGTTACAAACAAGGATAGGAAATTGAATGTTATCTTGCCTCAATCTTGTCTCTTTTATAAGAGAGATTTTCATCTTGGTTTTGATGGATGTCGTTGATGAAAAACTTTGACTTTAGCTGATGCATTTGCTAGATTCCTGGATGGCTCCCATGAGCGTTCACTAATGTCATATCCGCGCCAATGAACAAGATATTCCAGCTTATTTCGGCGCCGCCTTGAGTCTAATATCTCTTCCACCTCAAATTCTTCATTATCATCTACTTCTATAGGAGGCGGTGGCATTTGTCTTCT